CCATGGAACAACCAGGAATGCTGTGGCTAGAAAATTCACTCTGCTCTCTCAGCCACCCCCTCTTAAGGGCTCCTCTATTGTTTCAGTTGGGATTTGGAGGATCCTTGACCCGTCTTCCCCTCCTTCCCGATGACTCATCCAGATGCCAGCCTTGCTCCTGAGCGATGTTTGCTTCGGCCCTGCCAGCACTGCTCCTTTGCAGTCAGGATGCTCCACTCCATGGGGCAAAGGGAGCCCAGCTGACAACGCTGACTTGCTGCATAAGAACAGAAAACTGAACCAGCCCAGGAATTAAAGCTGGGCCAAAGCTGAAGACACATGGTACTCATTTACAGCCCTGTTGAGGGCAGGGAATTTCTAATATGCTATCAAGATAATTAAATCTGAAATAAAGCTGTAAGCATCTTTGACACCACCATGGGAAAGTATTTATGTATCTCATACATTCCAGTATGTGTTACCTTCCACACATAATCCCTTCCACTCTGGGGTGGATCAGCAAGTCAAAGGTTCAGGGTCTGCTACACAGAGGTGCCAAGTGCTCCCCAGTGACAGCAAGGGCTGACAGAGCTCAGCAGCAGGCAGGATGAAGCTCAGCATTCTCACACTGTCTGTGTGAACAAACAAATCTTTGTAGATAATAATCAGAAGCTACTTTTAGTATCACCTTTTCCCCTCTGTCAAGAACAAGAGTGGAACCAGCATCTCAACTGGAAAAGAAGCTGCTAGATTTATGGTCAGAAAGAGGCCATAAACTTTGAGCACGGGTGGTAACCACGGCTCTACATCCCTGATGTACTTTTAAAGACAGGATCAGTGCTGATTCAATTGCAAAGAAAATAATAATTTAAAATCTAGATGGTGATAAATATCCACATAAAACTAGACTTCTTTTCTGCCCTTTTTAGCTCCATCCAGGCACCTCACCACCTGAAAGAAATGAACAGGGTAGCTCACTGACCACTGCTGTCACCCAGCTGGCTCCTCCATGCAGTGCCACTTCTCCTTTTGCTCTTCCCTGCATTAAACACCACGACAAAGACAAAAAGCTAGAAAAATGACATTTTTTAAAACCTCCCTAATTTCTGCATGCTGGGGTAGACTTCTAATTTTGTTTGTTAAAAGTTCTCTTCCTTCGTTCAGTTGTCTGATCCCTACTTTCTGTTTCACTGCCTTTCTCCAACTGGCCACTTCATTCCGAAGACTCATCCAGTCCTATGTAGTAGGTATACATTCGTGTATTTTCCAGTTGTGTGTGATGACCAAAGCTCATGTTTGATCACTGACTTCCATACAAACATCATCACTGTCTTCCTCTCTTTCCTTTGACAGCCTCACAGATGGTGAGAGCCTTCTCTCCTGCAGTTTCAGCCGTATGGAGCTCCAGTAACTTTCAACTCCATTGATTTCCAGCTCCTTTCAAATCCCACCTGAAAATCTGCTTTTCTGTGCTTGAATCTCAGCTTCTTTCTCCTTCTGCTACTCTACAATGTCATGTTTACAGTATAATTTACTATATTCTGTTTAATTCTGCATTCCCTTCATAGTAGGTTGTTAAAATGCTGAAAGAACCCACTAACTGTGACAAATGCAAAGTTCTGATTTATTATAACCATCTCAGTCTTAAATTTGGGGGCACTATTTAAAGAGTGCATCAATGGAATTGCACATACGGTAGGTATGAGCCAAGATAAAAATGGTAGAATCTGGCTCCAAGTAATGACAGCACTAATTTTATCATGCCTCAGTCAACACTGCCATGCAGCTATAGGCACATCTATCTCCATGAAAGGTATAAGAAAGTATATATCAGTATCCTTGGGACAGGGAAGAGGCTGCTTTGGAAGCAGACTTCTTGCAGCATTCACTAAGGCCAGAGGGGAGGAAGTTCCACTGCTTCCATGTCACTTTTCTAGAACATATATCAAGCTTTGGCAAAGCTGTGGGAGCAGCCATGGTGGAGCTGTAAAGGCAGACCCAGACAATGGAAGTAGGGGCAAAGACCTTCTGTGAATTCATCTGGCTGCATTTAAAACTCTGTAATATCTTTAAAACAAACCTGAAAATAAACATGGACAAAAAGCCCTGAACAAAAAGGATATTACTCAGGTCTTCCAGCCTTCGTTGTGCTAAGAACCATTTGGGACACATACCCTGGATGTGGGCATATCTTGCTCATCGCTGTCTCACTGTTCCTTTACTCATAGCTCCCCAAATCTGCAGACAATAGCACAATTGCCATCAAAGATAAGGCGTGGCAAATGTTAGAAGTTCCCTGTGCTACACAGCAGCTGAAATTTCAAAATGATGCATCACGGCCTTCATCTGAGAACAAACAGATTTAGTTGGCATGGAAACAGTAAGTTAGGCTGAATGTGGTAAATATCCAGCAGTCATAAAAAAATGAGCAAGTCAGAATGATAAATATTAAAACTGAACACTTGCTGAATGCTTTTGAATCATAGCTCTTTTACATTGGAATGCAAGTGAAATCCACTTAACAAACTAAGCTGCTCTGTTCTATTCCAAATACTTCTACAACACTTTTATTCAGATAACTCCTTTCTCCCTTTTTAATAATCTATTTGAGAGAAAAAAAAAAAAAAAGAAAGTAAAGAGCTGGAAATCTGTACTGGCATTCTCCTTCAATTCCTCAGTAATGTTCATTAATTGGACACAACTGATTTTGTGTCTTCAGAGCAGCTCTATCCTTTAAGGCTGTAATTGTGACTTGACTGTTTGGAGGCGCATTCCTATGGTTTGAATACCTATCATGATGTTACTTTGTTCATGAACATAAAAATCTTTTTTTTCCCCCTGTATTATCTTCAATTAGAAATATCATACCCAATGCTGCATTACAGTTAGACTGAGGAATGAACAGAATTCCAAATTGTTTCCTGTCAGAAATGTTGCCTTGTATTAGATCCACGCACAGATCAGAGACAACCAACACTACAACAGCATGCAGTGCAGGAGTGTCATCTACACGGGATCAGTTCCCAGGTTTTCAGATTCCTGAGACAGAAGAAATCAGCGCTGCTTTGCAAGGAAAAGGTTGGGGTGCACCCACGTTTCTTAGGAACCTTCTCAGACTGCTTCCACTGCCTTGGGAGAATCCACCATAAACCTACATACACACAGGTTATATGAAGGGTTAGTTATACTCAATTTACAGCTAGCTTGCCATACTCCATGCAATTCTGTATGTCTTGGGAAGTCAGACATCTAATTTTTGAAAGACATTCAGCACTACAACACGAAGAGAGGTGGTAATACACAATGCTGAGACTGCAGTCAAGCAGCAGTGTTACTGACCATGTGCACCACTGCCCTGGAAGGCCACGCTTAGCAGAGACAGGAGAACCACCATGGAGAAGACAAATGATTTAGGTTAATCCAAGTGGGAATTCCTGGGGGCTTAAATATAAAAGTACTGGAAACACAACGATGTTATTTACACGACAGTTTATGTCACTAAGCTGACTCTGTCCCTCTGGATAATTATAGTAAAGGTTAACTCTGTGCAATCAGCAGAGGGTTCCTGGAATGAAGAGCTGAGCCCTGTGGACCTGTCAGTCACTGCTGAGTTCTAAGGACATTGCACTGAAAGAAGGCAAACATGGAGAGCTGATACCACCCAACAAGCCGTAACGAGAAACAGCTTTTTAGTTTTAATTAAAAGCGCAACAAAATGTTTTTTCATGTCTCATTCATTTGTTTGTTGTTGTTATAGAATCAAAACACAAGATTTTTCCTTTTAATGAAAAACAGAAGCTGTTTAACCCTCTCTCCTCCTTATTTATAAACATGTAAAAGCTCAGAAAAGTAGCCTTTGTGACAGTGCCAATGCAAATTTTGATGTTTTATGCAATTCTGGTTCCGACAATGTTTTGCAAAAGCAGAAAGCGAGTTCTGAGTTCGTGCCTTGTATCCTTCAGCTCCTCAGTCAGCTGACAAGTTGTTAGCTGCTGTTAGCACCTGATCAACAGGCTTACAGGTGGCCTGGCCACACCATTCTAGTGGGAAATACATAAGAGAATCATCATCACTGTGTCCAGGCCAGAGTTGTTCTCTGAGAGAGACAACCACGCACCAAATAACACATCTTCCTTCATTTCCAAGAGACTGAAGCCAAAATGCAGTGCTTGTAGGCCATTCCCTGGTTGCACAAGTTTCCCCAGTGCCACGAGCACTTCAGTTAGGGACGAAACTGGCCCAGCAGCTGCTAGAATGGTTTGAGTTGGAAGGGACCCCTAAAGGCCGTCTGGTCCAAATCCCTGCAGTGAGCAGTGACACCCACAGCTCCATCAGTGCTCAGAGCCCATCCAGCCTGACCTGAACGTGATGGATACTGGTTGCTCATCACCATATAAAGTTCTGAAATGCTGCAAAACTGCATTTGCACCAGAGATCTGTAAATCCTTTTCCAATTCAGATATCCACAGCCTCTGCATTTTCCTGAATACGTCAATCTGGTTTAAATGCACATCGTAGGCTTTCTGTTTCAATACTACTCTGTAAATTACATACACTATTTTGCTTGAAGCACGCTACATCTCTGATTTCACTGGAAGTGTCTGCATTAATTTTAGCAGCATTAATCACGTGGAACTGTTTACAGACAACATGCTAGGATGAGAGATGCATGAGATCAGCAGTAAAGATTATTTTTTATCTCAGTCATTGTCCAATTACAATTCTCTCAATACAAGCATCAAACAAGGGGTTAGAATAGTCTTGGAGCCCTCTGTTATAGCAGTACAGTCACTTTGGAATAAATGCATCATTTAACAGCTTGGATGGTTGAAATACCAACCTGAAATAGAGAGCAGGAGGTAAGTATTTGCCTGTAGGGTTCAGACAGTTTAATTCCCTTTTATTAACAAAAACAGAAAAGAAAGCTAGCTGAAAATTTTGCAGGAAAATATGTGCTTTTGCTTTGAAGGAAGATCTTGTCGTTCCCCATCGCAGCTCCCCGCCCAGGGGCAGCCCCATACCTGCTCATGGGTCTCCAGCTCCCTGCGCTGCAGCTTCTTCTCTGCAGCCCGTGCCTGGCTGCGGGAACGCTCCGCTTCATCTTGTAGGGTCTGAAACAACACAATGGGTGCAGAACATGTGAGAATCCCCCCAAAAAACTCACAGGCGACGTGCTTCGACACTGGCTCATAAAAACATGGAATGGCTTAAGGACCTTAAATATCATCCAGTTCCAACCCCCTCCATGGCCTCGGGCACCTCCAGGGATGGGGCATCCACAGCTCTGAGCAGTGCCAGTGCTTCACCACCATCTATCATGCTATTTATACAACCTGTGCTTCCTGGGATCACTTTTGCAGCGCACCAATAACCTTTCCTTTAAACCTGAGTAACAAGCCTCTCTGGAAATCTATGTCTGGAATTCGAGTGGAAATGCATTCCATGCTACTGCCATGGGATGCTCACTGCGACATGGGGCTCCCTCCTGCCCTGGGGTGAATTCAGCACGAGACCTACAGACACAGCATCAATGGCAATAAATACGAGGATATTACAATCATGTCCTTTTAACACAACAATCCAGTCTTTATTTAGTTCAGGAATGATCACTTCTAAACCTCGCTCATAAAACACTTCGACAACTTTATTTCGTCATTATTGTTCCTCTTATATATTTATTTTTATCATGGCCGTCCCTAGGAGCCTTGATCTTTTTGTTATGTGCTCAACAAAGGAGAAGTCATGCCCCAAGGAGCTGATAGTCTGTGTTATTTCTAACAGATACACACCAAACAAACAATACCAAGTTTCAAAGATATTTTTTTTAAAGTTTCCTAGCCATTGTTGGACGTTTGAATACACACTTAACATTTACTTACACACTTACTAAAAGCTTAGTTATGTTGTCAGCTTGAATAAAGGCATTGTTAGCTGCAAATGCTGACTTGAAGCAAAGCGCACAATGTGGACGTGAGATTGACATCGGCACAGAGGCAGCTGTGGCAGCAGAAAGGGAATACTTTGAGCTATCTTTTGTACGGCAGAAAATCGGGGCAGAGCTGTCCATCAGCTGAAAGGCATGGGGCAGCCAGGACCGAGCAGGGGCTGGCCCTGGGGACTGGCCATAGGGACACCAGGGTGCCTGCAGCGGGGTTTGGAGGAGCACCAGGAACTTGTTGCTGCTATGGGGACCGGTGTGACCCCACGTGCCCCGCAGAGCACAGTGAGAGCTGCCTCCTCAACATGGGACACCCAGGAGTAAAGCAGCATCATTAACAGGACCAGGGGTACAAAGATTGAAAAGCAAAACCCTTGCTCGTTTCCACAGCACTGAAACCCTGCGCTCTCAAATCATTTACAGGATAAAATTGCTATGGAGATAAGATAAGAAGACTATGTATGATAGATCTTGCGCATTGTTTTGATGTGATGCCAGGCATTAACTTTAAAGTCTTATAGTTATAAGGCTGTTACATGTTCTAATGCCAAAAAATGTAACCAGACCCAAGCATGAACTTAAAATCTGCCCAGGGACTTTTGTGCTATCATCACTTCTGAGAAATGCCAAAATGCAATCTTGAACACGTATCTCAACTCAACTCTTGATACTCAACAAGTCTTGCAGTACCAGCAATTTGCATTATTATAATGAAACTTAACATGTGAACTGCAGGCTCATTATTTTCTTTTTGTACCTCTAATATCGTAACTTAAAACACAAACAAGCCGACCTTGATGTGAAACCTACAAAGATCCATGCAGTGTGGAAATGCAACACAGAACGAGCAGGGCCATGTATCAAAGATCACCAAAGGCCCAATTAACTTGATAACAGTCTTCCCATAACACCAAAGCGTCCAGGCACGACCAGCAGCTCTCAGGAACACTCACAGAGCACATCTGGCCAAGCTACAAAGTATGATCTGCCTTCTGCTGCTTCCACGTGATCAGCTCATACAACCCAAACAGCTTGGCAAGGTGAGGGCTGAGGATTCCCTCCTAGCACTGAAGAGCAAGGTTGACTCTCACATGACTTTGAAGAAGATCGAGGGACAGCACACACACACACACACACATACAAGCATATATGCATGCCTTTGTCTCAGAGAATGAATTTCTATCACTCCCATCACAAAAAAACCTCTATTGAATACAAAATGGGATCTCATGAGCTCCTGTTAAAGACAACAACCACGTTATGGCAAAGAATCAGCGCAGTGCTGTTCCCACTCCCTAATTTCCCCATTTTTACTTTCTGCAACAGACAAACATACTCTGCAGAGCACGGAATGAGTGGTTCCTTTAAATCTGTGGGTTTGCCATGCATCTTAAGGTAATTTGATTGGGGAAGTTCAGACGACACAGTTTTTGTTAGGTTCACCTACCCTAGATAGTATTTGTCAGCATGGAGCACACATTTTGTTCCATTAAAAGGGCAGACAATGTATTAAACAAGCACGATTTAGAAATAAGGGTATTTTTTGTTTGTTTGTTTGTTTTTTAACCATAGCATATAAGGGTAACAAAGGATATTATTATCCATTCATCAATTGTCAAACCCAATATATTGTATGAGTTTGCAGGCTTTTCCAATCACAACTGTCTGCTGGTATTGGGATTGCATAAGAAAAGACTTGTGATGAACCACAAATGGCTTTACCATTTTTTGACTATCGTTGGTAAACTTCAGTGCTCTGCACACGGGCTCTGCTACCACTGTCTTTGTAGAAAGTGGTTTTGTTTATGAAGGATGTCCTAGCGTTAGCTCATCTGGATATTTCAGGCCTCCTATCAGCACGAAGACAAAAAAGCAAAACCAGAAGATCAGTATTTGATCAAAGCCACATGAAAAAAAAAAAAAAAAAAAAAAAAAGTAACATCAAAATCTCATCGTTGCTGTAGATTCCTGCGTGCGATTATCTCTAAAGATAATAATTAGAACCAAGTAAGATTGCTGCCCATGATTGTAATTTTCTAGGAGGAACCGTGATGGCTGTCATGAATACTGCGCCCTTTTGAAGATCACACTGAAAATTCTCTCTATTGTCAAAATGCTTCATAGGCAGTGGTCAGAGCCCGAGTGCTGATAGCGATTTCTGAAGCTATCCAGCACCATCACATCTTTTCTGCGTCTGACAGGTAAGTTTTCAGCATGCAGAATGCTCTTACAAACAGCAGAGGACTTACCCCAGGTGTACCAGAGAACATCTCTGTTGGAAAACGAAACAAAGGTTTGGTTTGGTTTCAAAATGCACAGCTTCAAAGTGTCAGATTTTGCCCAAAGAAAAACAGTGCTTATGTTTAACAACTGTTGAGATGAAGAAAAAGGCACAGAAAAAAAGTAAAAATCGCCAGCCAATTTCTGAGGGTCAGAGACAGTTTTTTCCCGAATGGAAAACAAAACCAAACTTATTAAGCTCAGTTTTTCCAAGGACAAAATGAATCCCCCTCTCTCAGCTTTGCTACGTTGACTTACATCACAGTTACAAAGACAGTTGGGTTTTTTTTTTTTCAGTTAAACTGGCTTTCAAATGCTATGTAAACATGTTTGTTGTTGAAAGTCTACACCATACCTGACCTTGGAAGTGCTTTGTGTTGGCCTGAGAACAAAGAAATGAAATGTTTTGCTTTCCAGCCCAGATATCCTACACTTTGAAAAGCACTTAAAAATGTAAATGAGATAATAAGCTCTACTGCAACAATGTGGGTGAATTACAGCTGTATAAAAGGAACGTTCGTTTGATTTATTTATAAAAAATGGAAAGGATCCTAAAATAAATTCATAATGCAAATGTTTTGATCACACATGACTTTGAGTGACACGAGAAGGGTGGAAGAGTGATGGGTTTGAGAACGTGCCACTGAAATATTGCTGTCAGACTTCGGGATCTCAAGTGGAGCTGGTGGATGGGAGCAGGGCTGTCACAGCAGTCCATGACATGCTTGGTTACTGATATGAAAGGAGCAATGAACAGCCAAGCTTCTTCTCCTGGAAGGCACTTGGTGGCTTGGTTATCAGCAGCAAAATGGTGGCAGACAGGGAGAAGCAGAGCTCAGCCTGTGCAGCTCCAGAGCTGCTGGGATGGTGTGCTGGAGCAGAGGGACTCAGCCCAGCTCTGGGTGCCGGACTGTGGCTGCAAAGTGTTTCTTTAAGAACCCTAAACTTGTAAAGCACGTGGTTTTGACAGGGAGCTACAGAGACAAAGGGTGTGGTGCCAGCATTACAAAATCCCTTTTCAAGGCAGGAATATATTTTTGGCATTAGTTACAAGGCTTCATCTGAAGCAACTATAAGCTGGTAAGAGAACGATTTCTACAAATCACACGAACAAGTATGAAATGGGAATATTCAGAGGATTTAGTCTTTAATATCTGAAAACTGATTTGATTATCCTTTAATCACAGGATATCTTAAAAGAGAAGTGTTGGATTCCCTGAAAGAAAACTCAGTTCTGGAAGACTTACATAAACAAACATCACAATGATGTGGAGTTACTCGGTATCAGTCATTACTGGGAGGAGCTGCATTTACAAAAGCTGTGATATTTCTTTTCCTTTGACCTAAAATCGTTTCCTACATTTGCTGAGCTCTCGAGTGCCAGCAGGGCGCTATTCCTGCTCCCATCACCCTGCGATCACAAGGACAGTAGTTTTATCTCTCTGCTACTGAGGGCTGAAGAGGTACTTAGAAGGAAAATCTCCTACAAATTGTTAAAAACCCAATATGTTTTCACAATGAAACAAAACATATCAGCAGTAAAGCCGCAGTGCTTTGCCATCAGGTTGCACCATGTGACAGCAGTCTCTCCTTGACGTAGCAGTGTCACTCTTGCTGGCTCTGACAGCAACTCTGCACATGCAGATGTGCATCTGTATCGAGAAAAGACCTCAGTATTTGTGAACAGTGCACAGCAAACCTTCTGCTAAGGGTAGTAATAGTTAACACTTTTCATCTTCAAAGAATTTTTCAAACATTACCAAATTAATATAATTAGTTAATGAAAGATGCAGTAGTAAAAGCTACCATAATTACCTACGGTAGATTTAATTATCTCCTAGCTAATGCCCACAGAAGAAGGCTTCCACTTTACATCCTCAAAACATGTGCCAA